TAATTTACCTAGGTCAGCATAGGCTATGTAAATCTATGTAGTTTACCAATTAAATTAATGCATAAAAATATATTTATTTTTTAATTCAATATTATTGAAGATGCTGTCCTACTTTTACCATATTCTTTATATTCATTCTTTGTATTTGTATTCACAGTATAATATCTGCAATTGGTTTGTCAGAGAACAGTTCTGTGGTAGTGGTGGCCAGTATGCTAATATCACCGTTAATGGTAAGTAAAGCCACTCTAAATTAAAGATAATTGGAGCTAAAGTTTGGCGGTTATGTGCTATGCCTGCTGTGGAAGGTGATGGAAATAAAAAATATAAAGTATAAAAAATAAATGAAACAGAACTTACTTTTTAGCAGATTGAGTAGGAAATATCTACTTTGAAAGAAAAAAAGCTGCACTTAACTTTAGGAAGGGCTTTAAATGAGCTCAACATCGAATTTGATATATAAGTCCTAAATGTTTAGATTTTATTGTACAGATACTATACTATCCTGTATCATCTATTCTTTGACTGACCTTTTTACCATAAGGATGATACAGCAAAGCTGATGATTTAAAGCCCTTGGTACGTACATAACTAAGTCTTTTTATGAGAGAATTAGGATTCATTTTTTGTCCAGGATTGAACCCAGGACGTTGGAGTTGAAGGATGAGCACCTTCACCACCAAATCATCTCAACATCTAAATATACATCAGTACTAAAGTATTTCAACATTAATTTATATGGCTTTTTCTTTCAATCAAGGGACCAATCATGGGAGGTACATTTGGGATTGTAATCAAACACAATCCATTACGAAATACTGGAATTAAAACTGAGGTTGTTGGTCTACTCATGTGTGTTTTCTGTGGTAAGTAATCCCTTGAATTAATTTTGCTAATATATTTATTATTAAATCCCTTGTAGGCCTATAGTCTATTTTTTAGTTCTGTACAACCAATGCCATTTATTTGTGTATTTTATAGCACTGTCTACAATACAAATTGTTTATTTAACTGTAAGTATATTAACATTAACCAAACCAGAATGTACCCATAGTCAAAACTATGCATGCAAATAAACATAAGGACGTTTAGCGACTACTAGTAAAAATAGATTGTTTTTATAGGGCTGTTATTTGGTTTCGTTGCTTATCCATTTCTTGGGGATGTGTGGCCAACTGATGAGATGAAAAGCAGGTATAAATTATAAGTTTTTTCACAAGTATTTAGGAACGTACTGAGTATTCGGTACGATAACACGTCAGGCAGGGCAAAACATCACTCCTAAGATATTTTCCTTACGCAAAGTCACATCTAAATAAGATTATAAGTACCATTTAGAACTAACTTGATTCTTCAATGTTCCTTATGAGGCAAACCACTGACATCCCTTCAAACTTCAACTAAATCAAAAACAAAAGTTACTATAGAAATATATGTTATCTTATTTTATTAATTGTATATCAATACATTCATGATTTGATCATTCTCACATTTAAATGTATCTACTTAGTCGGTAAACTGCTTTTATCACAAATGGAAGTAGGCCTAAATATTGAGTGATAGCGTTTTTTAGGAATCCAGAGATGATGCTATGAAAGTCTGTGACCATTATCATTAAAACATGCAATCTTGATCACTATAAGCCTAAAATTTTGACAAATTGTAAATTTTTAATGAAAGAAAGTGTATGAAATAATGATGCCTTTATGTACATTATTATTACTTTACTTTGCTAAAACAAAAACCTAGCCACATTGGATTCAACCATTTTGTTTTAGGGGTGAGCCTCGGAGTCTTCTTATTGGTCTGTTTATAGCCTTGCCATCTGGTGCTGGAGTAGCATTATCAATTCTTGGGAACAACACTGGTTCCCTGATTGGGGTTGCAATATCTGCATCTCTGCTGACTCCCGCTGTCAATGCAGTAAGTATAGAACTATTCAACTGGAGGCCAAAGCCCTAGTTATGATTTACTAAATTGCTTAATATTAAGTCCTTAGAAGAGAAATACCAATGACATTTTATATAGATAACAGGTATTTGATGTGCAATCATGCAACTATAGTATAATAACTATGATGTGTTCTTATTTACCATCACCAGGGAATGCTGTGGGCCACTTTAATTATTAGGGCAAGCCAATCCATGGAATCAGTAAATACAACAGACATTCCAGATGCAGATGTTTACAGTTCGTCAGAATTGGCAGTGGCTGGGACGCTGAGCCTAATACTCACTCTTTTGAATATACTTTGCATTTTTCTGATGGCTGTCTTAGTTATGAAAGTAGATATGTTTATTCATATTTCTCAGTAAATCAATCAATCAGTCAGTCACTCACTTTAAAACAGAATTCTCTGCCACAATGTTTGACCTTCTGACACTCGTTTCAAGATATCAGAATATAATTATACAGAATTGATATAACAAAAAAATATCAGTTTATATATTAACCAATATATTGGAAAACTGACTGCTTGATCAATCATTGAATCAATTATCAATCATTGCTTCATCAACAAGAAATAATCAATAGTCTATCAATCAATTTCATTGATTGCTTGATAGTTGTTTTGCTAATTATCAAATATATAATTATTATTATTTGATTACTGGTGGTTATTGTATAAGCATCTATTTACTTGCATTAGAAACTAGGTCTTGATTGTCTAAATCAAAGAGCTATAGATTATTTAACACCTCCTTGTCTAAGCCTATATGCTGATCTGAAATTGTTTGTTGATCTGTTAAAGATAAAAGAAGTGGCACCCAAAACCAGCACTGCAACAAATCATCAGTTTTGGAAGAATGACATTAAGGTGATGATAAGTCACTTGTGTCTTATACACATCTAGATGTGTATAAGAGACAGCGGTACTCACATAATAGGCCTATTTACTGTAATAAGAATGAGAAAATTTACCAAACCGTTTTCAAGGGGGAACCTTCAATTTTGAAGAACTTCATTAAAAGACACTTCAAAAGTCAGGAAAGCTCATTTTTCGCCATTTAGAAATCAACATTTTCCAGGGGAGAACCCGAACCCCATTTCTCTCTGAGGTTCATTGATTCATGGAATCGTTTTCAAGAGGGGAAACCTTTAATTTTGAAGAACTCCAAAAGTCATTAAAAGACACCTCAGAAGTCGGGAAAGCTCAATTACCGCCATCTAGGAATCAAAAATTTCCCAGGGAGAACCCCCGTTCCCCTTTCTTGTTGGGATTTATCGATTCATGGAAAAAAGAATACGTATATAAGGCCTATTTACTGTAATACGAATGGGGAAAATTAACCTGACCTTTTCAAGAGGGGAAAAACTTGAATTTTGAAGAAGTTGAAAGTCATTAAAAGACTTCAGAAGTCGGGAAAGCTCATTTCCCGCCATTTAAAAATCAACATTTTCCCGGGGAGAACCGTCCCATTTCTCTTTGGGGTTCATTGATTCATGGAATCCTTTTCAAGAGGGGAAAACCTTCAATTTTGAAGAACTTAAGTCATTTAAAGACACCTCAGAAGTCGGGAAAGCTCATTTCCCGCCATAATCAAAATTTTCCCGTTGGTTACCCCACCCCACCCCCTCCCCCTTTTTACTTTGGGGTTTATCGATTTATGGAAAAAAGAATACGTATAAAAATACTCATTTTTTGTATTTTGTATGTATGTATGTACACACATTACAGGCCTATTTAACCGAAAGGTCCACTGATTAATCTCAGATAAGAAAGTATAATACATACTCCAAGTATTGAAATACACGCCATCGTGTTGGGATTCAATATTTCGACATTAATTATGTCATCATCAGGAATGACCTATTTACTGTAATAAGAATGAGAAAGTTTATCTGACCGTTTTCAAGAGGGTATATTTTGTTGTTACCATCAAGGGCGTCGATCCGTGGCTGAAAGTGGGGGGGGGGGGGGGCGAGATGAAAAATTGGGCCGTAGGCCCAAGCAATGGTTGGGGACCAGGGGGCGAAGCCCCGGAAGCTCTGGCGCATATAGCCTTTTAATTGATTTTAAGCAATGCAATTAACATTTATTTCCATACGAAATTTTTAAAATAACCAGTGGCGGATCCAGTAATTTGAAATAGAGTTGGCCCAGAGAGGGACTTTTACAGATGGAGAGTGTAGCTGGACTACCACCTCAGCCCCACCATGGTTGGGGCTGAGGTAAGAACATTTATTATTATGGCACCTCCAGTTGGTCGGAAATGGCACTCTCAAACTGAATTTCAATATAATTTTAATTTTTCTCCACTTTTAAATTTTGAAAAAAAAAAAATAGTGATGGTGGGCCGGCTGGGCCCCTTGAATCTGCCACTGAAATACTCATCGTAAAAAGTTTTTAAAATTATCCTTTTTAGTCATAATTATGCCCGCTTATATATTTCGTGCAAACTAACATTCATAAAAATAATTAAAGTAATTAATTTAGTCTTTTTTCATGTACAGTACCGTACTTTTAAAATCAATCAAGAGGTTTTTGCTTTTCTCCACTTTTTGAATTTCACTTTTGTGTAAGTAATATTGCGATAAATTATTGTGAGTGGAAATAATACCGTCTAATTTACGATCAAACAGGACTAGGGAGATAGGGAGCACAAAAAACATTAGTTAGCATTTTGATTTCACAAACATAAAGGTGATTTACTTAATTTATCATTATCAATGGCGGCTCCAGGAAAGCAAATTAGAGGGGGGAACAGGGAGGGACTTGCACGTTGGAAAAGTAGACCTCAGCCCGACCATGGTTGGGGCTGAGGAAAGAAAATTTATGATTATGACACCTCTAGATTGCCGGAAATGGCACTCTCAGAATAAAATTCTAATTCTAATTTTCCTTTGTTTTTTTCCCATTTTTAAAAAATAATTTTGAAAAAATTAGAGTCGGCTCGGCTCCACTTGAATCTGCCACTGATTATTATGGCGTCATTGCGAGACTGCGTCAACGTAACACTGGAGTCTGTAAACTTTTGGTATGCTTATCACTTAATCGAAATAGGTAGACATCATATCCGTGAAATTAGAAAAAACAGTAATCCTATGTATGTAGTTAATATTAAACACTAATATATACGTACGGGTCATAATAATATGCAAAAAGAAAATAAATCGTTTATATAAGAAATTGTGCACTTTTGAGTTTGTAAAAATATTGGCCTAAGGATACATGCTTCCAATTTCAACAACGTTCAGTATATTGTTTTCTCAATAAATTTAGCCTCTGATAGTCGTTGCACCCATAAAATCGATCTAGTGGGTTTCTGAGATGGTTAAAAAATGTTTAAACAAATGCGTTTTTACTTGGTTTTGGTCCGGAAAGTACGTACCGCACTTTGGAAAGAGAACAGACAAAATTCATGAGTCATGCGTAATTGTCATTCTTTCCATTCGCTTTTAAAAGTGGGGTTTTAATTATAGAAGATTGATGAAAAGTGGGGGGGGGGACAATCGATATGATGTCCCCCCCCCCCACTTTGAAAAGTGGGGGGACGCGCCCCCCTGTCCCCACCAATCGACGCCCATGGTTACCGTTATTATTATTATTTTATGTTTTCAGTTCTTTTTGTCAATGTTGTCATGGCGAGACTTTTATTTATTCCTTGTTTCGCGTACAGTACTTGTTCTTTTTAAGATCATCGGAAGAGGGCGGAATAAAAATAAAAATAAAATTTTGTTTTCTTATTTAGCAAATAGTTTTGCCAAAAGCATCCAGACATAGAAGAAAATAAAAATTAATTTTTATTGGTGAATGTAAAATAGGATGGTTAAATGCTTCAAATTCATATAATTAGGAAGAAATATAAATGTCTTATCTTTGGAGATTTCAAGGCTGCAGAGGGCGTAATAAAAATAAAAATTTATTTTTTTCTGAAATTTCCACTTTTTCGTGGCGGTGGGTGTGCTAATTGGCCAAAAATAAAATGTTATTTTTATTCGAAATCATCAATATTTACAGTCGGTGGGTTCGCTAAACAAGGTATAAAAAAAGTCTCGCCTATGTATTCTAATAACTTTTGTGCCCTTTTGCTAGGTTGCCAGAGAGTACTATGATGTGATTGGAGGAAAGGCACAGGGACAAAACATTGGCAAGAAATTGTTCCAAGATTTTCAAGAAGTAAGTTAAGTATGAGACCAAGATGTGGTTTTTTCAAATAAAATTATAAACTGCCACTAACACAAAATAACCTGCATTGAAATTCTAGCTTTGGTGCTAATTTTGTTTAATTTATATGACAGAATCTAAGGAAACTAGACCACGGTGTAGGGTCAGGTACAGACACACTGAAAGGTCGTGAAGCTGCCTGTGTTGCTAGAGACTTTAAAGCATTACTCAGTGCACTAGAGAGTGAGCCCTCTTATCAGGATATTGTCCAACAACTGAATGAACCACAACTGGTATGTCTTAACCATATTTGTTTATAACAATACCATGATTAAATATCAATTAATATTATGATATATTGTTGTTAATTGCAAATTAAAATAAAGGTACCAGCTGAGACAACAATAATATTTATTCAACAAATGAAAATGAATTACTTAAAAACATTTTGGAAATGGACTCTACATTTATATTGAACTTTTTAAATAATATTTATTTATTATAATATTGTATTTAATGATTAAAAAATATATATATTGTTTCGGTTTGTATTCTCCCAGTATATAAACCATCACCCCAACTCAGACTGTACTGTAATACAAATGCAACTACAGTAACTATTTAGAATGGCAATAAATCCTACTTGTCAGAGAGCAATTCAGATTAAATTAAAAATTATCTCTTTCAAACAGAATGTATCAAATCAAATACCAACATCACCAAGTGAACCAGAATGGTTAGGAAATTTAGGCTGGCAGTCTAACACTTCCACCACTACACCTCAACGACCACCGTACCAAGAGATTTACAGACTGGTCTCACAAGATGACTTTCTTTTTCCTGGCACTCCCGAGCCTCAGTCAAGGTGTAATAGTCTACATGGATCGTATTCAAAAATCACAGCAGAAGCACCTAAGGAAGATCCTGTGTAAAATTATGTTGTCTTTACTTTTGCTGTGTTAAGTGAGCTTTTGATCACAACATCATGTAAAGAAGCAGTATACTGCTATAAATCTACACAAATTGATCACAAGAGCATTGGAATATTTTTAAAAATTTGTTTTCACTGTAATCAATATTAGCTAGCATATATTATACATTTATATTTGAAGCTATGAACCAATAGAAATGTTTTGATTACAAAATGGTAATTGTAGATGAACTGCATATTTTTTTTCTATGTGTCTAAGTCTTATTAGAAGTTGATAAAATATTTATTATTTTTAATTGAGCTGTTCAATACTTTAATTGCTGTATGTTATGACAGGAGGTATAACTTTAATTAAAGAAGTATTATTAATAATATATAATTAAGAATATGACACGGTATATTGGTAATAAGATTCTGTAAAAATTATAAAACAGAGTACCATATAAAATACACCTATTAGAAACATAGAAACGTCTATGGACATGTGAGTCGGACATCCCTTTAAGCACAGGGGCTTGTTTCAGAAGGAGTCCCAAAAACGTAAGAAAATTTTGAGAAAAAGAAATTTAAAATGACAATAATAATAACAATACTCCTGTCACTTGCAAAGACAATGAATTTATAGTCGTATTATGGAAACAGGTACAAAAATAACATTGGATTACTGTCATATTTTTTACTTGGATAATTACTTAATTATTTTAATTAACAGATTATTCAATTGCCAAGTTAAAAAGGAATATTAATATAATTGATACAGTATTTATTTAGCTGTAATACAGTGGAAGTTTCCATTTAAATTTTGAACATTTCAACATTTAGTTAACATCAATAATTTGATTTTATTTGTATTTCTACTTATTTTGACTGGATGTATGTTTAATACAACAGTACTATTCTCCCTAAATGAAAGCAAGAAGACTAAAGTTAAGTATACATTATAACATTGTGTAATACCTTATGTAACAGTTAACTCAGGTACTTCGAAAACAATGCAAATGTATTTTAACATGTGCCTTAAACAATATTTTGTATCTTTATGTAGAAATTTAAATAAAAATTTCAAAAATATTCATGTACCATAATATAATGTTGGGCATCAGGCTATAAAAAAAAAGAAAATTCTTGTGTTGGCCTCGTTTTGGGAAAATCCAAAAAATGGGTATGTTAGTAGGAAAATGTTTTACTGATTATGTGTTTATGCCTAAAAAGTAGAAAATACACAAAATTACAACAAAGACCATACCATTTTTAAATCCATATTGAAGAGCAAACGACGCATAACACTGTCGTATCGCCTACCGTTGCAAGATAAGCCTATTCCAGCCTTTTTAGCTAATTAAAAAAATATTTTCATTGTAGTAAAAATAAATAAATAAAATGAAGACCCTACATTCCGACCATTTTGAGTTGGTCTGGGTTGGCCAACACAATATTTTTTTTTTATTTGGCCTTATGGCGATACCCTAAGCACCACATCAACACATGTACCCAATAGAAGCGTCAGTTGGACAGGTCTACCCAGGACCGCTCATACGGGTCCAGGGGGCGAGGCTCTAGAGTATGACAACTTAGGGTTAGAAAGGTTATAATTTTTTTTTATCCCTGACAAGGTGGGGGAACCTCTCCACAGCCTGTTACTGGCACCACCCATGCAATAATGCTGTACTTCATCAGACATTGTCAGATCATTGAAACGGTTAGATCAAACATTCCCCAATCAAACAAGGCATATCTGAGAGCATATGCTTGGATTAAGAAATTAAAAAAAATATATACACAAATAGGTGCAAATTTTTATCAGTTTCTGTGTACTTTTTTGTGATTCAAGTTTTACTGATTTAAGAAAATATTTGATGCATAATGTGTTTTATATTTTTTTCCTATATTGTTATAAAAATAGAACATTAATTAACATAGATTAAATCTGTTTTTTACAATCATCAGTTTAACATTTTTAGTTAAATTGCGAGTTAAAATCATTGAGCAATTGTATTTTATTCTGGTTCTGCTAATGCTTATATTAAAACAAGTCTTTCTATTAACCTAGAATTGGTGCAATAACTACAGTAGATTTTTAATATATATTTTATCACTTTGTAATATTAGCTACTAAATACAAATTAACTATTTAAATTGTTTTTTTTCTTGCCTAGGTAATATGCATACATTACATCATCCTTTATTCTTTTTACATAGACAGTAATGATATGAGTTTGTAGTCAATTAAAGGAACTGAATAGTTTTAACCTGTTTCGTATTAGTTATTTTTAAAGTTCCTCCACAGCATGACACCAAACATTGATCTCATCTGCCCATCTTCTACTTCTGAATAATTTCTGTCACATCGTACCGTAGTCGTCCATCAATGTTCATTTACATGGGCAGCAGCAACGCTTTGGAACAGCTTTGGAAAGAAAATGAAAGAAAGAAAATATGAGGAAAGAAAGGATCGAAAAGATTAGAAACATAAGAAAGGAAAGGGAAAGGTAAGACAAGGAAATAAGAAAGGATAAGGAAAAATAAGGTGGGAAATGGAAAGATAACTTACGGAAGTATAAGAAAGGAAAAGAAAAGATTAGGGAATACGTGCAAGAAAGATAAATGAAAGATAAGAAAATTCACGAGGGAACAAAAACGGAAAAGGAAAGCAAAAATATGAAACCGAAAGAAAAAAAAGAAAAAAAGATAAGGAAACAAGAAAGTAAGAGGAAAGAAAATATAAGGAAACATTAGAATGAAAAAAGAAGGAAAAGTTACGGAACATAAGAAAAGAAAAGGAACTTGGGTTTGGGATATACAGGCAAGGGTTAAAATATGGTAAGTTTTTAGAAGGTACTAAATCCATAACGATCCTATACAAGGTGAGCTAACTAATAACTTAATAATAATAATAATAATTTAATAATAATTTAATAATAATAATAATATTTATTATTATTATTATTATATATAATAATTGGCATTGCTTACTTTAGTCAATTAAAAGTCTGATTAAGAGAAAAATATCCACCAATTATCGCCGCCATACAGTCACCGTTCTGTATTTTTCACATACGCTTTGACTGGTAGGCCTACTTTTCCCAATAAAATAAAGCCAACAGCAAAAAAGTATATTGTATGTTTGTTTTTGGTTAATAAAATATGATTTGACCAGTTTAAAGGTAGCCTAGTAAAAGAGTTTTGTACTATACAGTAATAGTAACATTCATACATGAACATGGAAAACATTTCTTGTAAGTAATCCAATAAATATACGTACTTAATACATACTGTCTTGCTTTACTAATTTTACTGTTTGCGATGTATTTGAGCTTACAATACTGTATACGAACATTCATACAGTTTTCTCCACACTGCTGGGCTTGGTGTCTTGTATAATGTAAGGCAAAATAAAAGATATTGTTTTTAGATTAATAATATTTTGAGACTAACATATTATCTCCATCAGTATTCAAACTCAAAATGCTTAGACTATTAATGTGTTTGTATACACTTTTGTTGTCAAAAGTTTTTTGGTTTTGTATTTAAATGTGTATTTATCTCACAGCAAATAATATTATTCAGATTTTGTATTTGCCAACAGTTTGAAATTTAGAAGCTATTGCCCAAATAATGGTTTCAGGGACCAGAAAGCAAATATTGTATATTAAAGTAGAGTTGTAGCTTGGTGGTTAACCTGCTCGTCTCCAAATCCCAGGGTTAAAACTATGTGAAGAAGCACAAGATTTTTTCTCGCGTCTAAGCCTTGTAATAAGACATGGTTTTTAAAGTGTCAAATTAAAATTAGTATACACTCATCAAACCTGTGTTGACAACCAAAAACTAGGATTTTAGAGGTCTGTCTCCCACAAGTTGCCAAGGTCTGGCCTGATTAGGCCTGTCGAACTGCTGTTGCCGCCACTGTCACATTGCTTGTGTTCATGGGCCAACACTTATTATATGCACTTGTTGACTACAGTTGAACTTGCCTAAGTCGAATCCAAAATGCCATTGAAATATTGTTCAAATTAGTTAAGATTTGACTTACAGATTGTTAAATAATGGAATACACAACAATTTGCCATGTAAAATTAGATTGACTTAGGCAAGTTTAACAGTATCTGCATTCAAATGGATAGTCCTAGAAATACCAGTGTTGACTAGTTGGGCATTCTTTGTATTAGTCCGTGTAAAAGGGTACAACTTGGTCTTCTTGATAACAGTAATAGTGTAGATTTGTATAGCGGCAGTATCCATCAAACAAGATGCTCATGCTATGCCACCTGGTAAACCGGTACCAGCAACTCTCGTCATTCACCACAATGCTGTCTGTACCAGTGTATCCCCCTACTTGTCTAAAATGATGTACTGGGTTCTTTATAGTGCACACAAGCCATTGTGTACGCTGGGACTAAGGTTTATAGTCATTATCCAAGAAGAATTGTTCAACCACCAGAACCATAGACTAGGCTGCCGCCAATGTTATAGCTTTACTGAAGGTTGGGATAATCAACTTACAGCTTGTTGGCAGTGTTCTCTGATGAAGGAGTTTCATTAATTCATCAAAAGATTACCTATAATTATATGTGTGATTTATTTTTTTAAACGACATGGTTAATTGATGGTGTGTGCTTTTTTTTAATTGTTGTGAGGTATACTGCATGCTATCAATGTTTATGTGTACATTTTTGATGAGATTCTTTGTGTGTTTCAGATAAGTATGTGTTTTTTTAACAATAAGCCACATTTTTTCTGTTTTATAGATTTTTGAAGAGGCTGATCTCGATGATGATGATCACCTGTCCTTCGCTGAATTTGAAGATGTGATCTCTAAAGCCCCAGACTTTGTCAAGTAAGTTGAACAATTTTCAGTTTAACATATTCAAGTCTAATTGATGTTTAATGACAAAAAGAAAATTGTCTGTTGGCTCTCTTATTACAAATATGACTATAATTGTGGGATAGTCACTGGTCCATCACTATACTGTGGTCTAACTTTCAGCTAAAGTTATATTTGCATTGAATTGAAAACACATTTTCTGACTGATGTATAGGCGAGTCAAATGGCCGAGCAGTTAAGGCAGGGGTGCCACAACCCTCAGCCATAATATCGGTGCTGGTTCGAAAGGGCACGTTACCCTGTGGTTCTGGTGGTGGAACGTCCATGTCTTCTCAGATAAGGACTATAAACTATAGGCCTAGTGTACACAATTGGCTCACGTGCACTTTAAAGAATCCATTACATCTTTCGAGATGAGTAGGTGGTTACCTTGGTGTTCTGGTCCATACAGTTCCTGTCGTGGACAGACAAGAGTAACTGGTACTAGCTTACTGGGTAGCTCAGACCCTTAGGGGAGAACGTTACTGTACTAGCTTGTCCACGCTTCCAGCGCTTTGAGACTTTGGTGAAAAGCCCTATATAAGTCCAATTGTTATGATTCAGTCAAAGCATTTTTTCTGGCCTCAGAACAAAGCAAGCTTAATGTACCCAATGCGCTTTCATTTACACATTGCTGGTTATTTGAATTTCCAAATTGACCACTTACAACTACCTGTTTAAGGCTATTTAATACCAACTCAACTCCTCTCCTGTTTTTAATATTAGTTTTAG